CGGTACAGCAATAAAAACTACATAGAAAAAGATTTTTTGCTAGTTTCTTTCTGGAAGCCGGCCGGAAAGGGTTAAACATACCTAAGATGAGCACTTTTCATGAGATTTAAACGTAAAACTCGAATTATTCGAATTCTTCTTGCTTAGAAACGATAGACTGATCACTATACTAAACTCTCGTAACTAACGAGGGAACATCCCCAACTGTCCGATCACTTTTGGATCGAGTATATGCTCAAACGATAGACCCCAATGAGCTATTAAATACCCTACAAGGGTTTGGTTTTCCAGGCCTCCTGAGCAGAGGTATACGATTATTACGATTAGTAGTTTTGCAGTACTACTGTACTAATATATTCTATATCTTGACTAAACAAGCTCTGATCAGGCTCAAATTTATATCAGTAGTAAGTCACTCTGTACTGATTAAGATCCCAGAGTTTGAAGATAAATTATTTTTCCTTATCGAAGATATGAATCTGTTTCATCTAACGATTGATTGTTAAAAAATAGCATGTGCTCTTGCTCAAAGATGCAAGTATTTATTTCGTCTGATATTTTCAGCACACATTCATTCCATAGTGAGCATGCATGTGGAAACATTAGCTTATTTGTCGGTGCTTTAATTAATAACAATTGGAACCATGGATTTATATACTTTTCATCATTTGATCTATTTTCAGTGACATGTTTATAGACCAGAAAAGAGTGAACAAAAACAAAGAAAATGAATTGAATCATTTAATCAGTGAAAGTGAGAGTTGTTGAGAAAATGTTCAGTACATAATATATAGTCACGATAAATTACACCAAATGAACAAACATGAGGAACAATCACGCCCATGATATTTGTAGTAGTAGTAGAAATTAATTATTGTGATTAAATATACATATATATTCGATGCGGACATGTGCTCCTCCAGACACTCCTTCTTTCACTTTACATATCAATCTCTTTTCGACTGCATCAGGACACAATTACCTCTCTTTGCCGATTTCGACTATCAATGATTCTATGCAAAGGACGCATTCAAACAAAAAACAATAAGTTGAATCAGTGAAATACATATGCAAGAGATCGATATCTTTGTAAAATTAAGTTTAGTATACCAGTACCGTATGCTCCATTATGAAAGTACACGAATTCATGGTTCCATATAGAATATATTAGTACAGTAGTACTGCAAAACTACTAATCGTAATAATCGTATACCTCTGCTCAGAAGGCCTGGAAAACCAAATCCTTGTAGGGTATTTAATAGCTCATTGGAATCTATCGTTTGAGCATATACTCGATCCAAAAGCGATCGAACAGTTGGAGATGTTCCCTCGTAAGTAAAGTTGACACTTATATATAAATTGTTTAAAAATTAAGATGGTACAATTAAATTTGAGCTCGATTAAAATCGATTAAATATGACAGTTTCGGCCAAATCAGAAGCCATAATTGATTTTAATGGATTCTGTCCAGTGAAAATCCATGAAAACTCTTCCCATAAATCACAATAATCGATTATTGTGATTTCCGAGAGAAAAAAATCGATTTCAATCGATTACAATATTTTCTATATAAGAAATTGTTTATTTCTAATATAATATTTCATTACGGGTAACGTTACAGGTAACAGTTGGCTACAAATTATGTGTTACATTAGAGTCTATTCATTACTTTTGATGAGTCAAAGATTAAGTTCTTTCGTCTAAGTCGTAGTTTTATTGCATAATATGATATTGTTGGTGACTAACTGATTTATTCAAATTATTTTGCGATCAGCTTACCGATAGTTTGAAATAATACGCATGGTACTTGTTGATAAACCATCAAACACGATTATTTTGTTGTTTGCATGTATCAAAACATAAAGTTGCTCCTATACACACGTGCGTCATTTTTTCATTTATAAACATCATGTAGTAGCTTCTTTCGTCCTTTCTTTATCATCGTTCTGTTGGTATGCCAATGTTTTTCTCCCGTCCTTAACGTCTCTCTATTGCTTTTTTTTCTTCCATTTTTTCTGTTTCTTTTTTTGTTGTTCGCCTCCTTCATTTTTTTTCTCATGACATCATCTCATTCTGCGTCGTCATATATTTGATACTGCATACTAATGGAAAACGATTTGTAAGGAATAAAAGATAATGTTTAACTATCTATTTGTTTGAAGAAACCTTATTTCCACACATACATCTACTTCTCTCTTTATTGATCAAAGGATGTGTATATATATATCAAATTGTCAAGGAAAATCTAGAGTTGTACTGACATATCGGCAACAAAACGATGCATATAAGTAGTCTCTCACCAGTTGTAATACGATTTCTACAATGTTACGGACTTTGGATTTGGAGGGTGTGGGGTGTGGGGAGTGGGGAGTGGGTGTGGGGTGTGGGTGGGTGTGTGGGTGTGGGGGGTGGGGGGGGGTGGGGGGGGGGGTGTGGGTGGGGG